ACTCCGTAAACGCTGTTGTATAACGATATCGTAGCCGCATCCGAATCGAACGTTAAACTCGAATGTTCTGAAAGGCTCGGAAAGCGTCCTTCGATTCGAGAACAAATTCGGTTAAAATATAGAGGAGTTCTGAATCGGGGTCCTGATATATATAGAAGTCTAATTTTAATTTCGCTATATCGATTATAGAATCTAATAAAATAGAAAATTCTCTTAATCTTACAAAGTTATGGTAACCGCACAATGCCACTAACACCCCGGTGGCATTGATATTTCGTCTTTCCGTAACAGTGTTACGGTTAAACCACGGTTTCTATATTGTCAAAAAAGTTTTACACGTTATTATTATAAACAGCGGTTTCAACAACAACATTGCCAAAATAGAAATATAAAATGTCAATGCACGTTGCTGTCTTTTAGTCTCACATTGTCAGACTTGAATTGAATTATTTCAATTGAATTGAATTAACTCTAAGGGCTCTACTTAGCACATCCATCGCTGGAAACAAATTGTTTTCATAATTCATGATAATTTATAATTAATTTATATTTTTATTATTTAAATTGAAATTGATTTATTATTGTGACCACACAGGTTATATAGAAGCTGACATGCATAAAATAGTTGCAGTTTCACTGTGTCCGGCCAAACATTGGACGTATTTTAAAGCACAAAGTTACTAAAATACAAAAAATGGATTGTATATACAAATTTTGCAGGCTGATTTCACATCACATTTCCTTCATATTCACACACTGGCTTTTCCCTATTCTTAAAGTAATGCATCCAAATTAACACCCTTGATAAGAAATTTAAAATATATAGAAAGTTTTGCCATCTGCTGAATAATCACTCTGATACGAGTTCGAGATACATTCACTCGTATGCACTTCGACATTAGTATGTATTCGTTTAGTATGTATTAGTGTTCGTTTAAATCACTGACTGGCCTATTAAATCTATGTTAAACCTGGCTTAGTAGCCAGGTTTAACATAGATTTAATAAGTCAGTCAGTGATTTAAACGCGGTGATAGTTATATGGTCAATTTTAATGATAATAATTGTAAAATGTAACTAACATTTTACAATTATTATCATTAAAATATCGGAATAATAATTTGAAATAACGTCAAATAAGTAGACAAATGTCAAAAATTAGACAGAATTTTAAAATTACCAATCCCTAAATTCATTTCATGGCTGTATGCGGGCGGCACAAGATCGGGAAAGTTGACGTGCTCTAGGGGAGGCTTATGTCCAGCAGTGGATGCGTGTAAGCTGGTGATGAAATTCATTTAGGGATTGGTAATTTTAAAATTCCGACGCAAAATTGAAACTATCGTAATATATAGCAAAAGATTTCGTGCAATGTTCAAGAGTGCACAATAGCTAAAGTTGCCACGGTTATATCGACATCAAGCAATTCAGATTTAAATACGGCCACTGAAAGGCTTCTTATAAACTTTCCTTCTAAATCGAGGTTCCGAAACTCCTGTTCCAACAAGTCAAACTTATATTGGTAGTGCTTCATCAAGGCAACTCGAAAGTGGAAAACAGTTGCGTAATTCTGTAGTCGAAGTCATATTGAGCAGTAAGTGTTTGTTGGAGCTCGATGATCGATCACTCGGATAAAGCTACGTTATAAACGCGTTGTATATGAGTGAAGTTGTAACGTCGACATAAGTTTTTGGGGGTCGAAATGGTAGAAACGTAATGCGAGGCAAACGCTATGTAGTCCTACATAATGCATTTCTTTATCTTTTAATTTTTGTGAGATTTTTTTTTTAATTTAATTGTTTGCACAGGAAAACAAAATCACATTAAGTAAAAAGCTACTATTACTACTGCTTCTTTCAAAAAGAAACTTCGTCCTGCAGACCTAACTTATTAATAATACAGGATTCAATAATTACAATAACGGGTTTACGTGCATAACGAACAAAACTTATGTAATAAAAAATAAATAATAAGGAAACAATATCAATAACATGAAATTGTTGTAAAGTAGAGTAGAGGCATACCTCAGAGCAAGTTAGTAAATAACATATTCAATACTTAAGAGTGAAAGCATCAAATTGCAATGTGTTAGTTCAGTCCAGGCGACGGGGCGTATGCCGTCGAAGCGCAATGGGCCGGCGGTAATCCGGCCACCGGCAAGCTGTTAGTTTTTACGGGCACCGTAAACTAAAGAGCTCAATCGATTTGCTGTTAATATTAAAAGCCACTACACGTAGTGCTTTCGTAGTCTGGTGTCGCCTTAGGCTTGTTTTCTTGTGTTTATTTAAGTTGGTATTACTGAGAAAGGACATTGTTAGAAGTGGAAGACGAGATTTTGTCGACAGATATTTTTATACGTTTGTAAACAAGTATTACTCAAGTACACCCGTCTGTAAAAGGGAATTTACATCGACTGTACTCTTGATTTTGGACACTGGACTTTAGGCCGTTCTTATGGTAAGAAGCGTAGCAGTGTATGTAATATTGAGTAAAACCTAGCTAGCTGTTGGCAGTACGTCCCCAGTTTAAAAGATTTCTTTTTTTGTAAACGTTCTATGAATAAGTTAACGGAAATTAATGCGTAAGTAGTTGTTGTAGTTACAAGTGACGTCATTTTTCAATGTTTGTTAACTTTGATTCCTGTCTATTGGGGAGTAAAAATTAATGGGTCATAAGTAATCATGCACTTTAGCAGTCTCCGGCGGGCGTGGATTCATAGTGACCTTGTGTTGTCATAGTTTTTTCTTTTGTTTCTAGATGTACAATTTTGTAAAGTGTTTTTTGAGTAAAGCTATTCTGTTCTTCAATTTCGTAATAGTGTTTCCGATAACAGTCGCCCACTACTCGGAACGTGCTACCAAGCTGCGTAGGTTAAGGGCTGGCGCGGCTGGCAGGAGGCCTCTATCAATCTTTTCGCCACATCATTTGCTCTCCGCCCCGTTGCGATTGAATTTCATTAACGAAACGCTTAGTACAGATTGAATCCATTTAACTAACACTGCGACCCCTCCAAATGAGCCCTTATGCAGTACCGTTATAAAGGTACGGAAAGGTGGAATTTTCAATTTTAGGTTTATCTGGATTGCTTGCAGGTAGTCTTGGTTGTGTTCGATGAGGATCGCTAATATGCTCATTTGTTCCTTAGCGGTCTTTTCGATTTGATTATGGTTTTACGAGTATTTCATTGTATACTTATAGCAGAGAATAAGAAAGTAACGAGAAAGGCCCCTCCCTAGCTTTAGATACCTCACCACGCCCCTCATATCGACGATCACACTGACGGAGCGGCAACAGGGCTGTCAGCGAGCCGTTCTCTAAGGACGGCTTTGATATTTGGATAGTTTTAATTTATTTTTACGAATTTAAACGTTACTATTTATGATGATCGTGAATTAGTATATTTAAAAAAACAATTCTTAATATACATTTTTTTTTACTGTACCCGAACGGTTAACACTGACACTTACGGACTGCCACGCAGAGATCCCAGGTTCGATTCCCGGGTAGGGGGAAATAGTTGTATGGCCTACATTTATTTCTCTCGTGAGTTTGGATGTAATTTGTGGTTGTCTATGTGTGTGTCCATGGCACCCGCGACACAGGGTTTTCCTAGTGCGGGGCTATGTTGAGTGTGTGCATTATTATTATTATTATTAAATTAATGATAAAAGAAACATGCTACAACGGGTCTATGACTCAGCTACAGATGACTTTCTTTATAATATCAAGTGACGGGAGGAACCAAGGGAGGAACAAGTCGTGCGTTTGGTGGTAAGCGACACGTCTGTCCACTGACTGTCTGGGCACTGCCTTTGCGCCCGTCACCCTGAGATATAAGTTGACAAATCCCATGTGTCTCTATTTCACCAGTACTCTTGCCCATCAAAACCAGAACGTAGTAATGCTCCGCTTGGCGGCAGAAATAGGTAAGCTCTACTGCTACTAAAAGTTTAATGCTATTTTCGGCACATAAGTGCTTAATTTTACCAACAAATGACGTCTGTTAGTCTTTATTGTTTATAATGTCGTTGTTTTTTGTAAAATGTTAAGGGAATAAGATTTGAAAAAGACGCCACTTAAATTTTAGTTGAGTCGAATGAATCTTTTCTTAGGTTTTCTCTATATTTTTACACATTCGTCACAACTGACTGACCATGGGATGTGTAAAAGGCTCGAAACGTTGGTTTGTTTGTAAAAACGAATATACGCCATGTAGATCCGCAAAACAAATTTAATTACTAATGACACCAACGAATTTAACTTATGTGCTTTAGTCGACCGATGTATTATGGATTTAAATGAATGATGTTAGTTTTTGACTTATGTGCTGTAGTCTACCGACTAGAGGCATAATTAAATATAAAATATTCACAAACAACACTACATATGAGGCACTACATAAATTACAAGAATTCGTAACTCGAGATTGCTTGTCAAAAAGCTACTATAAGCAGTTTCATGTAATGACCAATGGTCGGAAAAAGGTGTTCCACATAATACAGATACATGTATAGATATATGTTCAGACTAGATAATTTTAAAACGTTTTATAAAAAAAAACTGTTGGACATTTAAAAAAGACGAAAAATTGCCATTTTTGACAACCTTACCCACGTACGGCTATTTGTTCTTAAATAGAATAAAAAAAGGAATTTCTTTCATCCGGAAATCCGGAATTCGAAACAGTAATTAATTAATGTTTGGTGGTTTTAACAACTCTATGTCGCTCCTTGTATACATGTATCTATATATGTGGAACACCTTCCGAACATTGGTGATGATATACGTGATGATTATTTAATAAATATAGGTGAAAATGGCTTAAAGTACAGTACGGTATTATTCGTAGTGAAGTAATACACCATTCGTTGCACGACGACGAGCGTGTTCATGTTGATATATTTTTATACTTTATCTAATACACTTTGTGTTCCAACGTATATTTTTGAGATAAATTTTTCGAATATATATTTTATTTATGTTCAAAATTTCTTGTTGCAGACGGTCTCTATTTCTATGCTGTTGCGCTACGCTCACCACCAAATCTTCGTATTTATAGGTAAGTGCATTTTTCATATTACATTATAAAGTATCGTACCGCCGAAGAAGTAATTTTGTGGGAGTTTTGACGTGTGAGTGATCTCTGGCGGTGGCGTTATAGCAAATTGTCGTAACTTTTTTTCTCTGAACACATACAATGCAATTATGCCGTTGGAATGAATATTGTAAAAAAAACTCACAGTCGTGAGCCGGCTCAGCAGCAATCTCTTTGTAATAACAATAATTGCGAACAGTGCCCGCGGCCTCCCGCCCCGCACTTCGTGCGTCCACCGCGCGCTACTGAAAAATAAAAATAATATCCCGGGTCGGATTTACCTAGCGCTCCCCTCATTTGATCCGCCGACAATTAGTTCAAAAGAGATAATTTGTTTCTTTCCCTATTTGCCTCGCTCTGGCACTTGGCTTAGTGTTTCAATTCGACGATTGTTTCCATTTTTTTTTGTTACTTTTGCCGAGGAATGGCAAAAATAAACGCAATTTTCTCGCGCTCCAGTTATTGTTAAGTTTTCTGCAGGGGGTTGGGGATGAGCTAGGATCATCTGATGGTTTTATTCAGCAAAATGAAACATTTGTGTTAACTAGTGGTGTACATTTCCGTATCGCTGAATCACAGACACCATCCTTTCAAGTTGTATCCGCCTGTGGCCTTATGCTGACAGCAACCACCCTTAGCGTTACTTTTCTTATACTGGTGGTAAGGTTCTTTGTGCAGTCCTCGCCTTTTATATGCACCATCATGTAACCTGAAGTTGGTAAGTACCAAATCTAAGTTACAAAAAATCTTTTTTTTGTCAGCTTTTTTAAGTAACGAAAATAAGTAGTAAATTATAACAATACTAGTACATAAACATGATTTCAAAAATAGGTAAATAAGCGATCGAGAAAGATTACGTATCGGTCGGTGAAGAAAGTGGCGGGGTCACTCTCCTCTGCGGTGAACACACTTGGCGAAGAATTTTACAAAACTTTACTAGATAAAATTCGCCAGAATATTGAACAGAATATTTTTTAAATTTTTTAGATGATTTATCATTATATGATATATTTTTAATTTCTATTATTAATTTCTTAAATATAGCGAGAATACGCACACACTCAACATAGCCCCGCACTACACTGTGTCACGGGTGCCTTGGACACACACATAGACAGCCACAAATTACACCCAAACTCACGAGAGAAATAAATGTAGGCCATACAAATATTTCTCGCGGCCCGTGAATCGAATCTGAGACCTCTGCGCGGCAGTTCGGCATGGTAACCGTTCGACCACGAAGGCAGGAGGAGGATGTGTGTACTTGTGTCTTACATTCTAAACACCTTAACCTACTCTACAAAATTTCGTTATTAAATAACTGCTTTAAATACCTATGACTGTTGTATGTAGAAATAAGATTAATATTAGGGTAGATCTATTAGATGTAGTACACACAGGCATTGCTATGCTTAAAAGGAGATTCCTGTCACTATTATTGTAAATCTAAAGTAGGAAAGAAATAAATTATTATTATTTTTTTTTTACCAATATCGCGGGTTAGTATCTCGCTCGATTATGATATAAAAATGAAATGTTGAACAATTCTTGATCTCTTGTTCAAACCACCATAAACACAACAACAAAACACGACTATGTGATGTCATTAACCGACTTCCAAAAAAGGAGGAGGTTCTCAATTTGACTATGTTTTTTTGTATGTATGTTACACGATAACTCCGGTATTTGTGAACTGATTTTGATGATTCTTTTTTTTTGTTGGAAAGCCCTTTTTCCAACAAAAAAAGAATCATAAATAATACCTCCATAGTGGTGCCATTTAATTTTAAAGAAAATACTCCATTTCTAAGGGTGGCTGTTCACGCATGAAGATTCATTTTTATAAATAGCGCCTAAATTTTATTATAAGGAGCAATTATTTTAATGGTTGATTTTGCTATTCTCCAATTCAATGTGTTTTTTTCTCTCAATATACTTTGAGTAGTGAGAACCGATTTTTATTATCTCTTGTGTCAAGTTCCATATACTGTTTATTATGGTGGGAAGAGAAATCTGAGAATACCGAGAGCTCAGTAAGGCTAACTAGGAGTTGAGTCACTTCATGGGAACTGCTACCCGGACCTTCTGACATTTCGTACGCTCATATAGGGTGATATACTATTGCCCATCATATAGGGTGTAATAAACATTATCTCGCAGATCGGTTTCCAGGAGTGAGTCCCTTCTTGGGAACAACTGCCTGGATCTTCCGCATATGGGGTGAAATTATATTGACGACATACAAAGTGAAAAATAAATCTTCTGAACAACAACTTGGAGTTTTCATTTGGCTGTATTGGTAACCACATCCCACGATACAGAGAGAACCTCCCTCCTTTTACAAACTCGCGACCAACGGTGGGCCTTCAAGACCGAGGTATGTTACCAAATCCGGCCGAGTGACTACCACATCTGCGTCAAAGAAGCTGGTGAAAACCAAACCAAACATGTCGGTCAACCTATCCGACACCAGCAGCCATGCTATAGGGTCTGTTAACGTCCAGAGGGAGAAGGAGAAAGAGCATCCCATGGAATATGCGAGTCGACTAGCGAGGTGGGCGATATGCGAAGTTATAGTTGAAGTACCTACGAGAAGCCGAAGGAAGCAGTCCATCGTAAAGACTGTACATCCTAAACCCACGAGGGGAGGAAGACGACCCAAGAAAATCTAGAAGAGTTAAGTCCCTCTTGCTGAGATGTCTTTGGGGCCAGAGGGGAGATTGTAACAAACCTACTTTACGTATTAGACGGTCTTAAGCCAGATTGTTCACTTTTAGTTCCCTAAGAATCCGCTAGATGGCATCGATCCATTTGGCGTTATTTCTGAATCGCGGTGTTAAGGTTTTCCCTCGAATTGTGACTCGAACACAATCTTGTTAATGGGAAAAAAGTCGGAGAATACCGAGAGCTCAGTAAGGCTAACTAGGAGTTGACTCCATTCTTGACAACTGCTACCCGGACCTTCTGACATTTCGTACGCTCATATAGCGTGAAATATTATTGCCCATCATATAGGGTGAAATAAACGTCATCTCGCGGAACGGTTTCCCTTCTTGGGAACAACTGCCCGGACCTTCCGCATATAGGGTGAAATTATATTGGCATGTCGCCAAATATTGCTTATGTTCAAGAATTATCAATTTGTGCCCACTGTGTGCCGTAATGTTACATTTGCATGAAGTTACCCTACTTATCTTATTATAGTATGACCGTACATATTATAGTGCAAAGCAGCATTGTTTTGTTTCGTATTTATGTATAAAGACCGGACACTTTTGGACCTGCTGTCTTATAGGCGGCGGTATTTTTTTTTACATTGGGCGTATAGTGTAACTTTAGCATTATAGCGATGCTTATATTATTATTTATGTGTTTTGTCTTTATAGCCAAACATCTATTTATATAGATTTTTTTTATTGTTACATTTTTACCGTACATGACTCTTGACATTTCAATTAATGGACATTCCTTCGCTTCGTTCAATGTTTATCGTACCAGAAAATACGGCATCTGTTCGAGAACAAGATTGTTATCGTGAGACGTAGTAAGTAGCTCTTACCTCAAGTTTGTAGGATAAACAATTGAATTCACGATATCGGTTTAAGGTAAATCTGTTCAATGGGATCCTGTTCGGTCTCTATGACGACTGAGTCGTACCCGGGGGTTATTGAAAAATGTACTCTGAAACGAGTGAATACACGGAAAGTATCCTCTAATACTTTTATAAATAGATTATGAGAATTCTTCTTTCGAGTTTTTGATATATTTTGAGTTGCGTAGTGAAATGATCTTATAATACATTACATAGGGCGCACTATAAGTTTCCGGAACTGGCCACTTACGTAAACAATATTTGAAAAGTAATTACAACATTTGAAAATGGAACTCTTTGGTTGTAGAATACAGTTTGTTTCATCTGACTTAGAAATTGGTTGTCTACATCACCAGGATTTAACTCGTGAAAATTTCTGTAGTATGATTTTCTACGACTTTAAATGTAATTTAACAGCTCAACGGAGCTTCGCTCTGCTTCAAACTGCTTTTGGCGATGAAACACCATGCAAGACGACTATTTATAGCTGGTTTGCAGAATTCAAACGCGGTCGTGTGAATCTCAGTGACGAATTTCGTGTTGGTCGCCTGTTCACTGCTGTGAACAACAAAAACGTCGATGCTGTGACATACCATGAGATTCGGACATCTTTAAGTGAAAAAGCTTGTGAAAAAGCTGTGTTCTCGGTGGATCCCACACAATTTGACCGAGGCTCAAAAACGGATCGTATCACCTGGTGCAATGCCATGCTTACCAGATTCAATGAAGGGGCGTGAAATTTGGTGTGGGACATAGTAACAGGTGACGAAACATGAATTTATAGTTACGATCCCAAAACAAAGCAACAATTGAGCGTATGGATCTTTCGAGATGAGCCGGAACCAACTAAAGTGGTGCGCGTGCAAAGTGCCTCGAAGCGGATGATTGCTTCTTTTTTTAATAAAACTGGACACGTGGTTACTGTTGCTTTGGAGAATTGCTGTACCGTGAATAGTGATTGGTATATGACCATTTGTTTGCCGGAAGTTATTGACAAACTCCGTAAAAATAACCGTAAACGCCGTATCATCTTGCACCACGATAATGCAGTTCTCACACAGCCAGACAGACAAATGTATTCTTGAAGGTGAACAACGTTGACCTTATGATCCTTCCCACATACAGTCCCGACATGGCACCTTGTGCCATTTATTTATTTCCAAAAATTATATTTTAATATTTTTTTTTTTAGAATATTTTGAGAAACAGTAAGTTCATTTCTGACCATTTATAGTATTTTTTTCTTATTCATTCCGGAAACTTATAGTGCACCCCACGTATATATTATGTTACGCGATTAATAAGTTGTAATGAATACCTGCTAACTACTTCCGTATAGACCTCTTTGTTATATAGGGTAAAACCGGGATAG